CTCTGTCTTAACCCATACCTGTCATAACCCATAACCTGTAATAACCCATAGGTTTTTGGCTTCCACCGACATGGTAGATAGTAAAAACCCATAAGTCTGCCGTATCCCATAACCCATAGCTTTTTGAAGGGTCATAACCCATAAAACAACCTATATTAGGAAGGTACAGGTCTCCTTCTCACGAGAATCTGGACCATCTGGACCCTTAATTTTTTGGTTCTCGTGGTATTTCAGAAGATAACCCATACCAGACTCAAGATTCCGTATCTAAACGGTGTCATAAACGACGTCCGGCCTATACCGGATAGGCTGTCTGTCACGCGTACTAGGTAGTCACACAATGTCACACGTTCTGGTAACCCATAGTCTGCAGAAACCCATAACTTTTGGGTTCCACGACCCGTTATGGGTTAAGACAGAGTCGACTGTAGCCGTTGATGGAGCGGCTCTCCGCGGCTACGGACCGCTCGAGCTACAGCTCGAGTTGCCTAATCTAGCTACCGTGTTATCTGTCGATGAACGTCGATTGACGCGACGTAGACGCGTCTGCCGCTAGCTCTGCGTCGCGCGTGCTAGGTTAAGGAACATGGACTGGTGTACCGGAGATCTATAGATGTGATCTCTGTCTGAATACGTGTGACTTGTGCGATATGACGCCCACAACACTTCGAACCGGCAGTTCGTAACACGTTTTCTCTTATCGCCTACCATCTTGCCCAAGAAATGCACCTCATGGTATCGAGGTATGTCTGCAGATCAGATAATGATGTGTACAAGATATAGGATGGCCAAGTGTGCCCCGCGAGCTCCCCGTACACTCTCTGCGCCCCCCTTTCTTTTCTGTCTTCGAAGCATTCTCGCTTTTAGACTATGGCGCGCGGACGCGGCAGAGGGAAGAAGTCGCAGCCACAAGCACTCACAAAGGATGCAGATGCTCTGCAAACAACATTCCAAGTACAAGGTGAGTCCTGTAATACACTTCTACAATACTGTCTTGACCTACTGCACGAGGAAGGCTACACACATATCCCGGACGCGCCAGGCGTCACTCGCGCACCTATGCGGCAGCCGAGCGACGACACCTCAGGCCCTGTTGCGACGGATGGCCAACGCCGCACCGCTTTGCCGCCCCCCGGACCCATCGCATTCGAACCCGATCAGGCAGAGCCGTTGGCACGTCCGTCGGGCATCCCTGAAGCGCGCGCCCGAACGGGCGCTGCGGTCACATTCGCACCAACTGCAAGTACTGATGGAAGGGGTAGCAGCGCACCTGGAGCGACACAACCTGGAGGTGCCGCTCCTCCTTATGTAGGTCACGCTTCTATTCGAGCAACTGGGAGCCGTGCGAAGACACCAAGTCCGGAGCGGTTTTCACTGGGCCCGTCCGATGGATCAGACTGGGAATCAGATATGTGTTTCTGTGTTTATATTGCTGCTGATGTTTGTCTTACGTGTGTAATGATATCCGTACAGGGTAGCAGTGCGCTGCCTGCCCAACAACCGCCGACTACACCCCGAAGACGTGCCATCCCACAGTCTCGCACACCACGTGTTCCACGCACGCCACGGGCAGGCCCGCATAGCGTTCATCGCCGCCCGCAGCAGCATCACGAACACCACCATGAGGTTCCAGGGGATCCAACTGCCGCTCGGACGACTCATCGTGGGGCAGCGGATGTCTGGACGTTCTTTCAGCAACGGGGCCATCAGCACCATTGCATTTATTGCCTGTAAGCTGTTGTTTCTTGCTGTATAGCATAGCTCATGCATGGCGATGCTCTTGCTAGGCAGCAGAAAGAGACTGACCCGAACATCAAAGTCGCTAGCTTCAAGGCCTCGACTAGCACCAGTGGTATGCGGAAGCATCTACGTGACCACCACACTGATGCATGGATTGGTGCCTGTGACCGCCTCAAAATCTGCATCACTGCCAAGGAGGCTATGAAGGTGGTAGTGAACTATCGTAAGCGTATGGGCCAAGAAGCCATTCTCGAGCAAATCGGGAGACCAGACCTTCTTCCTGACGGTCGTATCCCCTTCTCCGATGATGCTTTTCTTGATGCAATCTGTAGGTTTATTGTGGCAGATGATCAGGTATGTACTTAATCATTTAAACCAACCTGATAATAATAGGTTATCATTTGACAGTCCATCAATGTTATTGAATGCCCTCAGCTCCGGGCTATCTTTCTACTTCTGCGTGAGGAGCTGAAGGACTCTGACATTCCACACCGCAGCACTGTACTGCAACCGCATCATGCAGCTCTTCAAAGAGCACCTCAATGAGCTGAGTACACAGATGAAGGTCTAGTGTTCCTTAAAGTGAGTATCATGACAATTGACAATGTTACCCTAGAATGCATTGGGGAAGATTTCGTTCACGATGGACATGTGGTCTGACCCGAATTTGGCACCTTTCATGGCCATCACAGCCCATTGGATTGAGACTCGTCTAGTCGAGACTCCCAATGGGCCGCAGTATGAACTGGTCCTCCGTTCTGACCTCATAGGGTTCACTCGTGTTCCCGGACATCATTCTGGGGAGCACCTTGCTGCTGCATTTATTTCTGTCCTTGATCGCTTCGGGATTGCCCAAAAGGTTAGCATCACATTGTTCTTCTGGTGATTGTTAGTCTACTGATATATGTATCATGCAGATTGGCTGGGTTACACTTGACAATGCCTCAAACAATGACACATTCATGGAGAGTCTGGAGCTGGAGATGCTGCGCCGTGGGATTGAATTTGACAAAGTTTCTCGTCGTATTCGGTATAGTCCATATTGATTATCTCTGCCTTTCTTTTTGACTGAATTTTCTGCAGCTGTTTTCCACATATCATCAATCTTGCTTGCAAAGCAGTCTTAGGTGCTATGACTAATATGGAGTATGCCTCCAATGAGGCAGCAGACTTCATCCCGCAGGGTAACATAAGAGATCCCATTGCGTCAGCACGTACTTTGGTCCGCACGGTACGTGGAGTTCCTTCCTACATGGAAGGATTCAGCTTTAGCTCTTGTATAGATTCGGGCGTCTTCAATACGGCGTCAGTACTTTGCTGAGGTGCAGAAGGCGCTGCAACAGAGGGACCTACAGCTCCTTCGGGATGTAGACACCCGCTGGTCATCGACACTATTGATGATTGAGCGTGTTCTACTCCTGCGTGAGGTAAGTCCAGCTCATATTCATAGTTGTGTGCAGTGGCTCACAACAGCCTATAGGCGATTGAGAAGTTCCTGTCCCATTCTGAGTTTGAAGAGCTGCGCAGGTATCAGCTGCAGAATTCAGAGTGGGACCTATTAGAGGCTTACAGGCAGATTCTTGCAGTATGTCTTGTCTGTAATCTTAAAAATGTTTCTTATCAAGCTCCTCAGGTCCCGCATGCGTTCCAGCATCGCTTGTCAGCAGAGAAGACACCAACACTTTGCCATGCTATCCCACATTTCGAGTCCATGTTGCGTATATGGGATGTGCAGAAGACACAGCTACCGAGCATGGCTTCTGTTATAGAGGCTGGTATTGTAAAGCTGGAGGCATATCGCAATCGTACTAACCCTGTCCCGGCATACATGCTGGCAATGAGTGAGTCC